TGACAAGTATAAAAAGAAATGAACCCTATCTCATGGCGAAGAAAATATTTCAAATGAATGAAGAAAATATTTCAAAGCATTCTAAAATAATCCCTTTAAGCTTTTATGAATTGATTTTTTTGTGGCAAAAAATAAACTATTCCAGCTAGAAATATCTACCTCTAACATTCGGCTACGGCGTCCAACATGCACAATTGTGCTATTTACATATATGGTGCGAAATATTAGGAAAGCATCACAGCTAACAGAAACGTTCACACATTAAAGTGTCTACATAGCTTACTTCCAATTTTCAATGAAAAAATTAATTTCAAAGTACATACATACATACATACGTACGAATGAAATAGCATTCATTTTAGCCTAGACCGAAATAATGCATAAAGCCATTCACACGTCTATACGAGTACATATTGCATTTACTATTTATTGTTTTTTATTTTCAAGTGAAAAGCTCTTAAAACCATTCAATTGCTATTTAACGACTTTCAAGTACAACCAATGACAGCTTGCCGCACAGCTTTTATGCCATATGTTTATTCAATATTTTTTCGTTTTGTTTTTTTTTTCTTTTCATTGATTTACTTTTCATGCGTGTGTGTGTATACATATTTCATGCAGAAAAAGACTGGTAAAGCAAGCAATTTGCTATGCCATGTGCAAATATACTAGGGGTATTCTCCAAATCTTGCAAAGCCATTGCACGTAGCACGGATTGCACGGATTGCATAAATTGCAAACACACAACAAGAAAATTCATGGGAAACAACATTTCCTATCGCTGCAAAATATGCAACGTCGAAACCCATGTATATATTTTGCAAAATAGCATAGCAAGATAATAGCGACCCTGTGCTAGTTGTTTTGTAGTTGGAATTGCTACATATTTCTCTCATTCCTCTCATCTCGCTCACTTAATTTTTTTTTGCTGTCTCTTGTTATTGTATTTGATACATAATTTCGCTGCTTGCTCCCCATGCATGCTACCTCTTTGCAATGGGGTGTTCTCGTACTCTTCGAAATTTGGAATAGTATTTTTGCATTTCGTGCAATCCGTGCATCGTGCAAGACTTCGAGAATACCCCTACTCTTACTTACACACATACACACACGCTCATGCTCCAATGCAAATATCATTTGTACCTGTAGATTTACTTTTGATTTTTATTTCGGCTTGTGGGTGCATCTGTGTGCGGGCGGGCTTAAAGTGCTTCAACTCAAAAACTCTCCAAATCTCGTTACTCGACTTCGGCAAACGAGCAATTAACTGAATGGTGAAGCGGCGAGTGTGTAAACAATAAGAATCAGGTGTGGATAATGTGCATAGGTAGTGCATATTTACACACATATAGAGTTGTTAAAATTTTCACAATTTTTACATGTAAAAAGGTTCTTTATTATTTTTTATGAAAGCATAGCTCACTATTTAGTCAAATCCAAAAAATAAAAATTTTGTTCTCGAGACAAAAACATCGATATATCATATCATAAGAGCCAACTGTAAATGCCGAAGATATAACGAAAAATGTAAAAACCCCTCGTTTGTAAAAAAAATCTTTTTTTTCCTCTAAATTGCTTTAGAAAAATTTCTTATACTCAGTGGTGTACGGCGAAATTTTTCCGGTACGGCCTAATGTGCGTATGTATGTTTTTAGAGGAAAATTCTGGCTGTGATTCAAGGTTTAGAGTGGACAGCAGAATAGAACGCTATTAGCAGATACCTTAATGCATATTTGTTGTTATGAATGGCATTAGTCTTATATAGTAATACCTCGATTTGGGGCCTATCAATTAGAGGAAAGTCAAGAAAATGTGTTATAAGAAAATATCTCTTACTTTATGGCACACCTTTGCTTGCCGTATTTAGATTAAGGTACGTGCTGAATATCGCCTTAGAGTTAAGATGATATATATATATATTTTTTTTTTGAAATTTATTGCTTTTATCGGTAGGACTTCAACCGTTTTAAGAACTATTTTGATTGCTAAACGTTAAAGGTCGGAGGTCGGATGCCCTTTTTAGATTCCCTACGTTGATTTGTTTCGGCCCGGGACCAAGCGGAAACCTAGAAATTCGAGTATTCCGTTTTTGAGTGCAGTGTTAATCCCCCTTCTAATATAGCATTAGTTGAGATTTTATTGAAAGCGCATGCTCTGTCGAGGGGTATTCCCCATTGCATATACTCCTTCATTCAAGCATTTTTCAATTTGACCAACCACCCTGTGCCAAGCTGTTTCAATAGACTTACCCTTGCTATAGGCATATGTGGGTGTTCCCGATTCGATTGTGATCTATTCTAGCTTTCACATAAACATCAATCAGCTTTTCGAGTTCCTTTAAGTGGAAAGAGGTTAAGCTAATTGATCTGCGATCCAAGTAAGAAATATTACTTTCACCGTTCCCCAATTTAGTATTTAGATATCAATAAACGCCACGTACTTTTATGGGTATTTAGTCTCCAAACTGGCACTTTAAAAACAAAAGTATCTATTTAATTATACCCTTCTCTGATATTTGGAGTACCATCCAATGTGCCTACAACCGTTTCTATTCAATTCCTTTTATTTACTTGTACAACTAAGTATTGTTATTGTATTGTATTGTTCTCTGTTAAATTGCGAATAATAAACTTGCTTTATTGCTTCGAATATTGGAATAATCAAAAAATTCATTAAGTGCATTCGCAATGACACCAGTGAGTGTCGAACGATAAGTTGAATCTCTAAAATTGAAAAACATTTAATTTATTGGAAGCTAAACCAACAGTGCGGTGTGAACAGTCAAAAGAAATTTGCATAAACATTAGGCTACATCATTCTCCATACATAAAAAGAAATCAGTACAGTTTTTCCATTGAAATTATACAATTTATTATATTTTAAAATTTCCGCCAAAAATTTTGGGAATTATAAGATTTACTATATTTGCGTGTGGTGAACCGATTTGAAAATACCTCCAAAAATCGAGCTTTATAAATAAAACTTGTTCTTGAAAATATTAAAAAAAAATCACCGCAGAGGATAGAAGTATTTAAGCTTACAAGGTCTGCCTAAGAGTGTTTAAAAATTTTATCAACGGCATCAGAGTAATAAAATTTTTGGAAGCATTTTCAAGTCGAGCAAGAGTAAATTTTAGTATTTGTCCGAAATATTTGAGCGAAATCGGTCAAATCTAAGGAGTTTTATAATTCCGGTGGAAAACCCGCAGTTATTTTTTGGTGAGGCATCCTAATGTACATTTATGTATGTTATTTTATATATATGTATACTAGGGTGCCCATCGAAAATGGTTTTTTTTTTTGGAAATTTCAAGACCCGGACTTGGCTTGTTGGGATTTTTTATCGGGTAAAAAAAACCTTTCTATTAATTTTTCAAATTTTGACTATCGATAATTTCCACAATTTCAAAATATGTAGTACTTTCTAAAATAAAATCTGTTTTTAAATAAACCCAGCAAAAACTT